AGTAGGGCAGTAGTTGCGCCAATGGCAGTACGGCTACCAGGATACCCTTGTGCACATCATTGTAGTGTAGCACGCAACACTTTTTCCGAAGTGCTCTACATCGCCTGCTGCAGGCGTTTCGTTGTAACGAGGATACTTTCCTTCCAATCGCATGCGCGCCGTCGTTCAGTGTTTGCTGTGCAAGCTTCCGTCTCATGTGAGGATTTTGGTGTTCAAAATCTGTAGCTGCCTTCACCAAGGGCGTTGTTGAATCCCTCCGAAGAATTCAGGTATACCCATTTCCGGGTACTGCATGGTGCAGGCGCACGACGACCAATCTTGCTAAAGTTGCAGTGAATGGTGGCACAGAACGGCACTCAAAGCTTTGGAATATTCCGGAGATTTGGGCTAATGGTGTACTCGCTTATCCAATGATCATTCAACCTCCTCAGCGGAGCCATCGCAGTCAGTTGAGCACCCCACTTTCTTGCCTACTGCAAGGGCCGGTGCGCCGGGCGCGCAGCATTCAAGGATACTCAGTATCGCATAATGCTGTATTCTGAGAAAGCCGCCCCAGTGACGCCCTTCGCCTTGTAGGGCGGGGCACGCCTACTCTTTTCTACCAACTAAACCCAACGCTCGTCGAGACAAAGTCATGCTTACACAACTTGCCTAGCGTTTTCCCCGTCGCAGAAGCTAGCCCGCTAAGACTTCTCCAGCAGCTTGCATGAATCCGTATCTAGTCACATGAGGTTCCTCTTTGGTTCTATTGTGAAAAAACTCGACACGCGCCGACTTCGGCGTTCTGAGATGTGCTGCTGCTTCTGTTATCGATATTAATGTAATATGCCATTACAACAAAACAACGCTAGCCCCTTCCGCTGCCTCGCTGCCAGGAGTTTTGCTGCGTGTACGTTCAACACAATGCAAGGCGTCGTCTTATTTATGGTCAAGATATGCACTTACATATCAAGAGATTATCCTCTGAACCGTTGTCCCATTCAAAACTTTACATGGGCTAAAGTCCCCACTCTGCAAGTTTGTGCAGCAGAGTTCTCGTCAACCAAATATGCTTTCTACTCGACGCTACAGCTGCATTGCCAGATTTTGTGAAATGCCTGCCTTCCTCACACACGCGCACCGTTCACGGGGAAACACCTATACGCTCCGTAGTGGATATTTGCTAACTGTGAAAAGGTATGCACCACTAAGACTCTGCCTGCTGTTGACTGGGCCTCGAGGCAGTACGTGCGCCTTCCTCCCTTTTGCTTTTTTAAAAGTTCCCGTAAGAAAATTCAAGCCTGCGCTAGTTGCATACCCCTAGAAGCAGCGGACACAGGCTTCTCCAAACCCAAACTATTGGCACATCCATGAGAACTCCTACCGCCCCCCTCCTAGCATTAGAAAGGGCCAGATGGAGAGTCTCGCTAATACGCATCTTCTTTGATGGGCGCTTCTGGGACTCCGCGGCATCCCTATTCGCCGTGTGCCTTCTTCTAAGAATCGTCTAATGATTACTTCTCGATTCCCGAGATCACATTGGCGCGACGCCGACCCTGCCTCTGCCTTCGTTCATCCTTTTCGTTCTCTTGGCGAACTGCTTGACCTCGTGCCCGTCACGAGCCTTCTGAGCCTGAAGATGCTCACAAGCGAAATGCAAAAAGCCCTTTGAAACTGAAGCGTCGCACCCAAGTGCAAATAAGCAGAAACAGTTGCGGTGCACTTCAGCGGCGACGGCAGCTAACAGCAGATGGGCCTGGTCCCTTGGAATGGAAAACCACGCCGTAGCCGCACCTGCTGGCCATTCCTTTTGCGAAACTGATAATCTGGAATGTACCACGTATATCTCTGACCAAACGCCGTTTTGCGGACGACGTCAGGGTCCTCTGGATTCTCCTCTCTGCATAAACATTGCCAAAATAGCCACTCGTCTGCCCCATGAGGAATTGCGTTAAAAAGGTCCCATGCGAGCATCAGGTGTTAACCGTGTGTCTTACGTGAGCAGCAAGTTATTCGCCTTATCTCTGAGCACTACTAATGAAGTAAAGGAGCTTGGCACTGGGTATACGCACGCTTGGAAGAAATCATATGGAAAGCAAGCACAACTGCGATACTCACGCTTCCTCCAGCAATCCCTTCCGGAGCAATTGACGCTTTGCTCGTTCGGTTGCCTCGATATTTTTCAGCTTTGTTCTGCGACACAAGTGACGCACCACAGTTCACGCGTGGTGCACGAAATACCACATAGCCGCACGCCTCTTGCAAAAATCGAAATGGAAGGCTGTATGTGCTGCCACAATTAAGTAGTCCTCAAAAATAGATATTCTAGCACAAAAACAATTTATATATAAAATATAATAATTACTGGAATTTTTAATCCTACATATTTTTGTGTTTTATTATTATATTCTTTACAAAGTAAACTAATATTTATACCATGTTGTCCTTTTGTACACCTCCGTTGCTTTTGAGGAGTCTATCGCCCCAGTCAAACTACCTGTTTAAAATTTAGAAAAAGAGCCTCGACTAAAAATTGTAGAATTTAAAGTAGCAAAACAATTATCTTCTACAGATACTATTGTCAATAGGCGCTCACTCCATGGGAAGCTCAACTTCGACGAGGCCTGTGACCCAGTTCATCTGATCTTTGTACTCCTCCGTCTTGTCTGCAACCTGAAATTGCACAGTAGCAGTTGACTGGGGTCTAAAAACTGTAATATCACTATCGCACAAGCATTCTGCAACTCAGGAGAATGTGTCGATGCATTAAAGCATCTCCCTAGGTAACCCGGAAGATGCCACACGCATTTGCCATCACAACGTAAACAGTGTGAGTAGCAGCAGGCATGCCGAAGTGCAGGCAAACCAAGGCAAACTCTTCGAGCAAACTCTAACGAATCTGTCTGAGATTCGGAGGAACGACCTGGTCCCCTTCATTTTCAATGGCCTAAACAAAGATACTTCTTAGAAATCACCTTCAAGTGGTCGGGAATAGCATACAGGTCCCTCATCTTGTCTACCATCTCATGCTCCCTCAGGGCCTTCTCCTCGCGGGTTTCGTGCTGTTTATCTTTCATGCGTTCACGCAAAAATTCTTCTCTGAATCACAAAATTGCAAGAACGGCAAAAGCGTCAGAAAGGGAACTGCAAACTCCAGACATCTGGCTATAGCACCAGCCCCTCTAATGAAACTCCGCCACCACAGATGTTCAAACCCGCAAAAGGAACCCCTAAGCCCCAAGCTGATCATCAGCTAACCGTACAAGTGTTTATCGGTCACGGATCCAGGGCCTCCTGCAGCAAAGTTCTTTTCGAGGAGGCCCACGGCGTCTTCTGCCTCTTCATCATCCTTGTCCTGAAGTGTTTCCTGTAGGGCCACACGAGCGTCCAGACCCTTTCGCGGACCCCCGCGCATGCGCTGCAGGTCCTTCATGCTCCTCACAACCTCCAAGGTGTCGTCGTCGCTGTCCGAGCCTCTCTGTTCATCCTCTCTGGGTTCCTGCGGAGCTTCTGTAGAGGTACGTTGCGGGATGGCACACGAGCTGGGCGAAGCCCTTTCCTGCTCAGTGCCTAAAGCTTCATCGGCATCCTCTAAGTCTTTCAGACGCTTCAACGAGTGAATTGAACGGAGTCCCGACCGAAACAGGCCTCGGGGCATTTGTGAAGTATCGCTAGCTTCCGAGTCTGCTGCGGCGGAGAGCAAGCGACGAGTTGTGGACTCTGCATCTTCGGGAGGCGATGATGCATCGCCTGCGTCTGCGGTACTGTCAACTCCCCGGGATGCCATTGAAGTAAAGATCCCGGCGGCCTCTTTACCGACAAGTGCGGGGCCTCCTAGCCACAACAAGGGCCCACCCAGTAAACCTGCCCTGGAGGCCCCCAGTAGGCTGTGAATGAACAGCTGCAGCCACCACCTATGGCAAATACGTTCACTCAATCACAGCGAAACGAGCATAAGGCAATGACTTCAGCAGGAACTGCGAGGCCACTGTAGGCGTCCAGTAGTATCCGGTCTGGGTGAAAAGGGTGAAGAGCCACGACCGAGTCGTAAAGCGGCTACCAACGGCCCTGTCGCTGCACGAAACTCTGGGGATATATAAAAAGCTAAGAAAAAAACCCAAGAGGCCTAGAGATAAACAACATCGACGAAGAATATCATTTGCTAGAAGTGGGACACAAGGCAACTGCGCAAGAAACACCAGGACGGGCCCCCAATGACTGCAGAAGCCTCCCATACCACCCACAGAGAAGCAGTAGGGAGAATACTGGTGGGAATTTCGAACAAGCAATAAGTCGTATATATACCAGTGTAACACGCCAATGGCAGACTATACCACAAGAGCGACCCGCTGGACGCATGCGGTGGGGCTGACGATGGCTTCTGAAACGCAAGGCCCGCCGACACAGAACTTTTGCCCATTTGCATGGGATACAAAATCTATGTTTTGCGCTTAAGGAATTCTTGCAGGAACGCTTGCAAAGGTTATTGTTCAGTTGCTCTTGCGTGCCAGCAACCAGTGGAACTCCTGCACTCCTGCTTGGTGATGGAGCAGGTAAGCTTGTTTTTCTTCGGTAAAGGTGTTTGAGGTCACGTTAAAATCTATTTCTGATGTTCAAATAAGCCTTTTGTTTTTGTGTGGTATCCTTGTAATGAACACGAGCTCGCATCGCTAGTATGGTTCTTCTCCCCTTTGGTCAGTCTACGGCGCTTGCATAACCTACTCTGAAGCATGCATGGGCTGTATAGTATGCTGTGACTCAAGTTGGTACGCCGATTTCTACTTGTTTGGAGACTGGTTATTGAGGTTTAAGTAAGTGTATCATTGTTCTGTAGTATTATTTGTTGTTTGTTTTGCGTACATGTGGGGTTGATTTGTAGCGGCAGTTGAAACTGGTACAGCAAGTGCTGTTGCAATTTGTGGAGGTCACTCCCTTTCCGTAGATGTCTCCTTGCCATACTGCCACAGTTCACACGCAGCCTGGGGGATGAAGGGGAGGTGAGGAGCTGTCGGCGAATCTCTCCCTTCAGTTTGTGCGCTCCATTGCGGCTCACGACGGTCTTGTGCCAAGACTGACGGAGCTCATGATACTTGGTGGCACTGCATAGGTCAGAGGGGCAGGCCGGGGCTGCGAATCCCACCGTCTTAGCCAAGCGGGCTAGTGTATAGCGCCGACTATTGAAGGAGTTTTGCAACTATTAGCGAGGAGCATATCTTTAGATTTTAGCCTTATACTCAGTTAGAAGTTCAGCCCCTTTGCCCTCTTGCATTATGGGGGTTGATCAGGATTTGCAACCCGGTGGGGAAGCGACCAGCGGTTTGGCTCCTTTCTGCATTGAAGCAAGCGTACTGCCCGCAACCCATCCAGCCCGGAGCTTTCTAGGACGAAATCAATTCATGAAGAATGCATTTGCTGGTCGTCGTCAGTAGGGAATGTTTGCTTCTTTGGTGGCGTGCCTTCGTCTTTAGAATGCACCTGAAGAGCCGCAGTTGCTAGTGGCATTCATTTTATAAGAAGTGGAGGCGATATAATGATGGTTGTACCTATGCCACGGTATCACTTTTCCGGACTCCATTCGGACTACGGGTGCTTTCCGACGTGGACTACAATGGGGTTGTGCCTAGATCGGCAAGGGGACAAGATATGGCAAAGTAAGAAAGTCTATGCAGGGGGGCTGTCGCGAGAGCAATTCATAAAAAATGTCGGTGAGTAGAAACCCCATGGGGAATCCGAATCGCTGAATTTCTTTTTACGGATATTCTTTGTTGAATTGCTTTACCGATAGCCCCCTGCTGTGAACAGTGGTTCATAGCAAGGCTATCCGCTGGTGAAAGGCAACCGGCCGGGCCGTGGCATGAATGAGTGGAGCTCGGCGAGGTTATTGAATGCTTGCGCACCGAAGAGAGAAGAAAACGCCGCATCTACTGACCTATTGGAGTAGGAACAAAGGGGCTCTCCAAGTATGGATATTGGGGCTATGAGGGCCAGCTAAACCCAGATGGATAAGCAGCCAGAACAGAGGGCAGAAGGCAAATTCGTCACTCAGTAAGCTGAGGGGATTTACCGATTGGCGAACTTGTCTCGTGGTTCGAGGTTGCAGGCGCATGAAAAACGCTAGGTAGCTGGAGAAGCAAAACTTTGATCGACGCCTCCAGACGGAAAAACAGAGCGATCTAGGCAATGCCCAGGCCCACGCAACGTGCGGTTCGATGGTGGGGCCAACAGTGGTGACGGACAAACCTGCATATCCTTTTTGAGTAAAATATGGGTTTTTCAAGTTTGTAGTAATGATCTAGATTTGCTTGCCATACATGACACACGCTACGAAGCGAACCTGAAGTTCCAATGGATAGCAAGGGGATGCAGCCTACCTGTGTGCTCGGTGTCGCGGTTTCTGCGAACGCAATCGGCCGATGTAAGACAGGAAACGAGAACAGCTGAAAGGGCGGACGTCAAATATGAAAACACATTTCATGAGCTGGTCATTTCAACATAGCCGGGGACATCTATGTTAGACCATTTCACCAAGATATTATCCTAGCCATCCAGTGAGCGACTCAGTGCAGGATAGAGATGGGGTCCCCAGAAGACACTACTGAAGCCTTCATATGTTGAGTGGCAGTGCCAGGACGTTCACAAGACACCTGACGTGGTCTGCAGTCTTCATTCGAGAACTTCTCCTTTCTAGAGAGCGATGCCACCGACACGACGGCTAGTGCGATGCTCTATCATCAAGCCAACGACTCGATAAGAAATAACAACCTGCTACTCACAGCATTTTACGGAAGGAAAGTAAAAGCATCCGGTGAATGCGCAGGAGCTCGACAAAGTCTGTTGAGGACTGAAGAAGTGCTGACATTTCTTATATGGTAGGCATTTCGTCATTTAAAAGGTTCATCGACCCCTGGCACGCCCGTTGATGAATTTGCACGCCTTCGCTGGCGAATGATCTGTTGCGCGGCATTGCTGGCTCACGCAGTACGCAGTACGACGCGATTGGCCATGATCATGAAGGGTAACTAACGTGGCCGCTGATGCACTCTACCGATGCCCTGCTTCTCAAGCACTTTGCTTTACAAATCTGCTTATCCAGGATGATGTAGACTTCCTTCCCAAACTGCTTTCTTACAAATTGGTTGATTCTCACGCGACAGTGGGAGCTACCAGGCTTAATAGTAGACAACAAAAAGCACTGTAGGATAGACGGCGATCTCCCGTGCATCAGATGAATCAGGGACTCCTCCCATCATACTTTTCAGGCGCCCTCCATCGAGATGTGCGCAGAAGGCACGCGGGCGTTGATAGGGGGAACAGATAGGTGGACCAGGTTCCCAGGTTCTAGGGGCTAAGGATGCGCTCATTTGCTGAGTATCCTCTTCTCCTGTCTCGAGATGCCAGCATGAAAAGCCGCTGAGCACTCTCAAACCCGAACTCTCGTGGAGTCTTCCGACTCCTAAACGGATCTGGTAGGATCTGGAATATGTTTCATGGTGCACTGCCATCCAGCGGAGGCTAGTGTAGCATTCGTACTATCGTGGATTGACTTAGCAAGTGCGGCTGTTCCATCCCTTGCTTGTGTTCAGTGACAGCACAAAAAGTGGAAGAGCTACGGTTTTCCGCGGGAAGCATCATCATCGAAACTCCGTAAGCGCATCCTGGGGAGAATTCGTGATGCGGCCTAATATTGAACATGGCATGGCCATTGTGAGTCACTCGCACACAGACGATCAGAACTGCAATAAACCACCTCGAACTTATGCAGTTTACTAGTATTTACCAATTACCGAGAGAAAAACGTCAAACTGACGTGGCTTACTCTTTTGGCGGGGTGGGTTTGTAGCATAACTGTGTACAATTCGACCCGTTGTTCTTCCGCTTCAGTGAACTACACTGAAACGGCATTCTATGACCAGGCCTTGGACCTAGTCGTTGGATGCCAGCTCAGGCGACGCAGGAGTGACAGAAAACCCAGGTGAATTTCTGGGGACTGCTTCCTCACGAGCATTTACGCACTTCTCTCGAGATAGCGACGGGGACTACATGCGTGGGCGTGCGCAGCGCAGCGCAAACTTTGGCCAGGTAGAACATTTTGTTGGCAGTTGCTTCTTTAGTGTATATAGGGGCCCATATCATTTTTTTTACATTCTCTATGGTGCTGCTTGCTTCGCCGTTGTGATGTGCTCCCCCGTGCCTATCTCGGCTCTACCGCTGACAACGCTTGCTTTTCTCATATTTTGAGGCTGCGCCTTCTTTGGAGCTGGCCTGACCCCCTGACTCACGCACGCGTTGATGCGGGGATTCGACGGCTCAACTTTGGGTTGGGATGCTCACTTTAAAAAGTGCAAACTGAGCCGGAAATCACAGCACAGAGGAGGAAAAGGCGAATGGCAAAGGAGGAAGAGGCTGAGGAGGTCTTCTGGTACTGCTTATATTTCCTGGTGTTGTTGCCCACCCATACATCTCTGCAGCAGGAGCATCCGGTGGCGTGGCCAATAGTCGTGTAGGGCAGTTCGCCCCCCTTGCCTCGGGCAAACTGCCCTACACGACTATTGGCCACGCCACCGGATGCTCCTGCTGCAGAGATGTATGGGTGGGCAACAACACCAGGAAATATAAGCAGTACCAGAAGACCTCCTCAGCCTCTTCCTCCTTTGCCATTCGCCTTTTCCTCTTCTGTGCTGTGATTTCCGGCTCAGTTTGCTCCTCCCTTCCCTTCCCTGCCACTCGGTGAACCTATCCCATGCTGCAAAACACCATACAAGGACGTGGGCTTGTGCTGCTTGCGCATAGAATGCCCGGCAAATGCAGCTTTGACGTAACTAAAGTTGGTACGTACATCTCTACCGGCGGATAGGTTGGATACTAAGAGCCAAATAACTGTTTAACGCTTGTCTACAGTGTCAGCAGATGCATAAAAAAAGGATTCTTTGCTATAATTGCCCTTCGGGTTGCATTGCAATAAAAGTCGCAGCACGGTGCGCTGCAACTCATGACGGGTCTTCGCCTCTCCGCATCAACCCCAAGCTCTACGCCACCGCGCCCACGGCACCTCAAGACTGGAGGCAAAGTGAACTGGTTTTGTGGAGCTCATGCCTTCACTATTGTTCCTCTACTGCAGCTCACGATAGTCAATTGCTATGATCGAGGAATGCTGATCCACTCCAACACGCACAACATACCCAATCCTGAGTCTAATGCATGCCCGTGTGCCGGAGACAATTGCTAAACGGATACTTCGCTCACAGTAACCATGCTCCACGCACACAGGAAAGGGCGTTAACGGAATGGCCTACAATGGTCGTGGGTAAGCGGATGGCGAGAAGAAATTGGGCCTGTACAAACTTTTTACAATGCTTTCTCTGCATGCGCTTGATCCACTAGAAACTTTTGGGGATGTGGATGAGCAAAGGATTGTTTTGTGCAAGAAAAACAAAACGGACGCAGCACTGGCACCTCCAGCCACCCGCTGCTGCGGTGTAGGAACACCCCACAAAACTCTCTCCTCAACGTTTTCTGTTTTCACTTTCGCACAGGTTTGGCATATTATGCCTCATTTAAAGGCATTTAGACGGACAAGCTGGAGGAAGCTGCGTGAAGACACAAACGTCAGCAGCACCTAACGCTGCTGCAGCTGCAGCAGCAGCCGCAGCAGAGCCGGCACCTCCGCACGAGGAAACGCCTCAGCACTCTCCATGAACCCAATTAAAGACATCTTGACTCAAACCTCTCCTTTTCATAAGCAAAAAAGACCTTGTTAGGTCGCGCAGCTGGCGCCGCTGCCTCCGTGATATAGCTCTGCCTCTGGGGGCCCCTTGGGCCCCCAGAGGCAGAGCTGTTAAGACGCTGCAGCAGCCAAGATGGACACGACTGCAACAGGCTTGGCGCCAGCTTCTGCTGTTCCTTCTGTTGCTAGTGCTGCAGATGCAGCGGATGCAGCACCAGCAGCTGCTCCAGTAGGTCCCCCTGCGCGCAAGTTAGCTGCAGCGGCCAAGTCTGCCCCGAGACCGTGGGGTCGGGGAGCCCTTAGCCGCAGCGGGGGGCCCCTGCAGCAGCAGCCTGCTGCAACAACTGCAGGACACAGTGGAGACTCGGGGTCGGCGACCCCTAGCAGCAGCAGCGACACCGAAGAGGAGGCTGCAACTGCTGCGGGGTCTTGGGGAAACCTATACCATAGTAGAAGCAGCAGTGCCCACGGGGCACCTCCGAACGACAACAGCACACCTGCGTCACGGGGGGGGCTGAGAGGAAAGAGACGCGGCAGCTTCAAGGCACAGGCATCGGGAACAGCAGCAACTGCTTCTGCCTCAGGTGCAGGGGAAGCACCATCAAAACGCGCTCGCCGCCGAAGCAGAAGTATCAGCAATACTAGTAGCGACAAGGGTGAAGGAGATAACGGTGGGCGGGAAGCAGGCGCGCACGAAGAAGATGACGCTGAGGAAGCAGCAGCAGCAGCAGCCGACCCAGCAGTAGTAGCGGCAGGCGCAGCAGCAGAAGAAGGTGTAACACGTGGGCGGTCCCAGCGAAGATGCAGACGCGTGCGAAATTACAGTCTACTGCACGCTGGAGGCACAGACCCTTCCCTCGAGTTTGAGTTGTACACAGAGGCAGCAGTGCAGCAGCAGCAGCAGCAGCAGCAGCAACGGGGCACGCCAGGCAGCAGCTGTGGCAGCTTCAAAGGCCTTGTCCCCGTTACTGCTGAGACGCATGCAGAAAGGTGGAGACGATTCTATCGGTCTCACCAGGACCGGCTTGTTGCATTCAACTCTTTTTCTCCTGCTGCTGCTGCAGCGCTGCTGCTTCGGGCCCTTCCCGGCTTCGAATTGCGGCGGCAGCAAATATGTGTTGAGGCTGGGCACGGCAGCAGACCACTGGTTTCACATGTCTTTCTCTCCACTTTGGAAACGAAATTCAAGTGCAGCGCATTGTCTCCTCCCCCGTGTTGCTGCAACGACAGCAGCAGCAGCAGCAGTGGCGGCAGGTGCGGCAGTTGCTTCTGCTGTGTAGCTGCAGCAGACAGCGGGAGGTTTTTGTTGCTCGAGTGCTGCAGCGAGGCAGCCTTGTCTGCCATTGGAGGAGCAGAGAATAGTCCTTGGCCCCTCGCAGAACAAGAAGCAACGGAAGCAGCTGCAGATGCCGGTGTATCGCCAGGGGACTCAGCAGCAGCAACTGCTGCAGTAGCAGCAACCGCAACCGCAGCAGAAGCACAGGAAGCAACCACATCTGCCTTAGTACAGCACGCAGAACTGCAACAAGAAGAAAATGACAGCCTGCCCTACGAATCACTCGCAGCAGCAGCGGCTGCGGCGTGTTCCCAGATTCCTTTAGCCCGAGCAGCAGGAGCAGCCGCAACAGCAGCAGCAGCTCTTGGCGCAAAACAAGCTGCTATTGCTACAGCCTCCCCCTGTGCTGTCAAGGCATTCTATGGCAGCGGCGGCGACGTTGCAGCTGCTGTGCTGCGTTACCTACACGACAACGGCAAGCTGGAATTCCTGCAGTTGCAGAAAGGGACGCACTATTTTGAAGTGCAGCAGCAGCAGCAACAACAGCAACAAGAGCAGCAACAGGGGGAGCCCCAGGCGGGAGACTCCGCACCACCTGCTGGCGGGAGTGTGGGGAGCAGCAGCACCAGTTTGAGGTTCCTTGCCACTCCTGTTTTCGCATACACGCGACGCAGCCCACAGGAGCAGCAGCAGGAGCAGCAGGGTCGTATCTCGGCAGGCGTATCTCCAGTCGCTTCCCTCTCTCATGGTGCCGCTTCCTCTTCAGCAGCAACAGCAGCAGGAGTATTTGTGGGGTGCGCGAAGTACGTGTTGCTGAAGAGCACTTTGGACAGCTTCTGCTGTTTGCTGCCGCTCACGGGGTCTTTGAATTGGAAAGACGATTTGAGAATACCGAGGGATCTGGTTGACTGGTTCGATGGTCTGGCTCTGCTGCTGCAGCAGCACCAACCTAATCAACAGCTTGCTGCTGCTGCTGCTGCTTTTAAAGTTAGTGACGATGACGGAGGCGGCTGCAGCGAGTACTCCGCAGAAGCTTACTCCGCCCAGGCAGAACAGCAGCAGCCGCAGCAGCAAGAGGAAGGAGGAGCGAAGCTAGAGGATTCCGATGTGCAGAATCAGCAGCTGAGTAGGCAGCAGAGGGCAAAGGGAGAAGACGAATATGTACAGGTAGAAGCAGCAGCAGCAGCCGCAGAGGCTGCAACAGCAGCAGCAAGAGAAGACGACCATGGCTCTGCGTCTCCTCCACCCGCGGAGTCTGCGCGGAATTCCTTTGGATCTTCTGGCGGTTTTTTGGTGTTCTTAGAACCAAGAGAGAAGATGGATATACACCTGCTGGCTATCTTCAAGGTAGGAGTGCTGTTGCTGTTGCTGCAGTTGTTTATGGTGATGGTGGTGCTGCTACTGCCCTGTATCGCGTGCTTGTGGTGTTACTCTGCCACCTTGTTGCTGATTTGCTTGGCTAGCTGCTGCTGCAGTCCGCAGGTGCTGCTGGGATCGTTGTGTTGTTTGCTATTGCTGCTGCTGCTGTGCGGCTGCCGTATTGCTTGTTTTTGCTGCTGCGATGCTGGATTGTGTGTTGTTGTGTTGTGTCGCCGCTGCTTCTTCAGGCGCTGCACTCGGCGACATTCAACACGCAGTCACCTGCACGTTTCCTTCGTCTCGTGCGGGTTGTTCCGAGCAGCAGCAGCAGCAGCAGCCCAGGAGACAGCCGCAGCGTCGCCTTTGTCTTAGAGAAGAGACACGACACGTACAAGACATACGGTGAACTGTATGTCGACTTCCTCCGGGTTCTGCAGAGGGCCAAGAAGGAGCTGGGATCGCTCGATCCCGACAGCATACTTCCCCCGCAACAGCCACCCAAGTGGACGTCTTCTTCTCCTGAGGACATTGAGGTGCTGCTGGAGCACCAACTGCATCAGCATACAACCCCGCAGCAGCAGCAGCAGCAGCAGCAGCAGCAGGGGAAACGCATAGGGCACAGGAGACGCGGGAGACAGCCCCACCACAACGAGTTGATAAGCGACGAAGAGATAGAGGAGCAGCTGCAGCAGCAGCAGCTCCAGAGGAGATCAGCTAGGGGAAGACCGCTGAGAACAAAAGCACGGGGTGCAGCGGAGTCGCCCAAGTGGGGAGCCGCAGCAACCCCGGACTCTGCTGCTGGGCCGATAGACATGCAGCAGCAGCCCACGCAGCAGCAGTTGCCGCAGCAGCAGCAACAGCTGCAGCATCCGCATCAGCCACGGGGTGCCGCTGCGGCACGCCGTGACTCAGCTGGCGACCCTCTTGCTGCGCTGCGGCACCGCGTGGCAACAGCAGAGAGGAAGGGAAGAAGTGCAAGGGAAGCAGCGCAGGAAAGCCGCCAGCAGCTGTACGGCTGCTGCAGTGAGCTGCTGCACCGTCTGCTGCAGCAGCAGGGACCGGAGGATGAGGCAGAGAGCACTTCAGAGAGAAGATCTAGTGAAAGGGTGCAGCAAAAGCTGCAGCAGATGCTGCAGCAGCTGCTGCGCCAAGCCAAAGTTGCCGACCAGTTAGAGGAGGATGCAGCGGCAGCTGCAAGACAGGCAAGAGACGAGCTGGAGCAGCAGCAACAGAAGCTTCTGGGGGAAGAAAGCAGCAGCAGCACAGCAGCCAATGAAGCACTTGGGGAAAGGCTACGAAGTATTGCACTTTCCGCCGCTACATTAGCACAAGAATGCGCTCAGCTGGCTGGCCAACAACAGCAACAGCAACAGCAGGAGCAACAGCAGCGGCAGCATCAACAGCTGCTGCTACATGGTGAAACACAGCAAACCCCACGTGCCCTTTCTCCTATGATGAAGCGGCCCCAGTTTAGTCATCCGTTGCCACATCAACACTTGCAGCAGCAGCAGCAACAGCTGCTGCTGCACCTGCAGGCAGCAAGCGCGAGGGCGGCGCTGCAACATGGAATAGGAATATCATTCCCTGTGTCTGAGCAAGGTCGTGCTGTATTGCAGGCTTTGCAGCAGCAGGCTGAAATGTACAACGCTCAGCAGCAACAACACCAACAACACCAACAACAGCACCAACAACAGCAACAACAGCAACAACAACAGCAGCAGCAGCAGCAGCAACACCCTCTGCTGAGTATTGCCAGGAGCGCACTACATGCCTTGCCCGGATATTCCCCTTTTGCGGCGCAAGCCGCTGCTGCTTCCGCTACTTGGCCTGTGGGGCTGCACCAGCAGTTGATGCAGCAGCAACACACGCAGCAGCAGCAGCAGCAACAGCAGCTGCAGCAACAACAGCTGCAGCAGCAACAACACACGCAGCAGCAGCAACAGCTGCAGCACCACCAGCAGCTACTACAGCAGCAGCAGCACCAGCTGGAAGAACAGCAGCAGATGGAGCCTCCCCAGCTAGAGCATCCGTACGACGGCGCGCAGCAGCGGCAACAGCAGCCTCCTCCAGCCTACCAGACGCTGCCCTTCGCTCCTCCCCCTTGAGCCTTCCGGGCCTCAGTGATATGCGAACAGCTCTCATTGATGGCAAGGCTGCCTCAAGGTGATGGGAATACTTGGCAAGACGGCGGGGTAGGTGGCGCCGCGTCTAGAGGCACTGCGGCTGGTTTATGAACAGCGGCAGCAGCAACAGCAACAGAAGCAGCGTTAGCAGCCACAGCAGCAACAGCAGCAGCAGCAGCTGCTGCTGCTGCGCTGTTGAAGCACTTTGTTCGTGACGTTTTTTTACAATAGTCCCGGGTGTACGGACATCCGGCGTAGCGCGCTGCGAGTCTGGCGAATGAAACCTTGTATGGCTTTTACAGTTTTAACAAGAAGTGGATGCGCACTGAAATATATTTGTCCCAGGCCAGTACAAATACGCAGAAACAGACTTGTGTCTGCGTACGATGATGTAGTGTTGAAAGCACCGGCTCCCCAGCACTTACTGGCTGGTAGTACGGACCATCACAAGCACTCCCATTCGCCTTTATGTACGTGAACCTGCTCTGATTGAAGCCCCAGGTCGCACCTTGTAGTTGTAAAGGCACATCAACAGCTGCTGAGGATGCGAGACTAGTGCTAGACTTCCCCGTAGGAACCAGTGACTCTGTCAAATGATCGGCCTTTCCCTTAAGAAGCAAATATGCCAGTGCAGAGGTAGCTGGAGTGTCTGTACACTGCACAGCCATGCACGGGCCGAACTAACCAGCCTGTTTCTTCCCGCAAATGTGTGTGGCAGCAGCAGCTGTGGGTGTAGGTTCAACACGGTGAGCATAGCAAAAGGCATTGGGGAATGTAAAGACAAATATGCATGGATGGGAATGTGTAGATCGGTAGCACAATAGCGCGCGTGAAGTTGCATGATGGCTCCGGACTAGCTGCTGTTCTTAGTCTTTCCAGCTCCTGCCGCTGCTTCTGGTCATGGTTATATTTGATCAACAGCGACCGCGTATGTCTTTAGGGGAGTGATACGTGTTGCACTTGCTCGACAAAGTAGAGGCGCCGCCAGCCTAGTCATTTTTATTGATCTTCCCCCGCTTCTCTCTGAACCCACTTGCAAACGCCGACCAAGCACGCTGACAACAACAGCAACTTACCAAGCAGGAAGAACCTACAAAAAAGAATTTAGAATGAGTAACTGTTCACAGTGCTCGAAGAAAAGCCTTTTCAGGATGAAACTGAACGGTCGGGAGGGTAAACCTGCAAAACAGACGGAAGCACAAAAGGTGGAATGGTCAAAAAGAACCCTACGTCCGTCACTATGAAGAAGCAGCAGCCTGAAATAAAGTATATATATAATATATATACATATTGTATTATTTGCGAGGTTTTCTGCAATGCCAGCATTTCCACATGTCCTACACATACTTCACCAAGCCGAATTGTCCTCTACTACTGTCGTGATATTTGTGAACTTTCCTTTGGGAAGCGTTGCTGTGACGTTCGTTATCGCAGGGTATGGGTTTATCGCACAGCCTACATTCCCAATAAAACTGGGGAAAGAAGCTGCAAGGCACGCCGAATTCAACTTGGGGCGAAACACTCCAGCTGATTCTGAGGGCAGGTTCCCGTCGATCAGGAACATCGAAAGAGCCGAAAACCCCAAAGATCTGCCAACAAACCCCTACTTCCGCCACGAATAAATCAGGTTTAGCACCACAAACTCCCTTTTAGTTCAATTGATTAACAACTTCAGCAGCCACGGAAAATGGCAACACTACCAGGTGCGAAATAAGGTGATAACAGCGAGACAAACGCTCATATGCCCCTCCACTAGCGCCAGCAGCTGCAGAAGGGGCAGGAACAGTTGCTGCCGTCTAACTACCGATAGTAGCAGCAGCCGCAGCAGCAACTCACCACCAGTCTCACGTTCTCGTCCATGTTCAAAAACTTTCGGCCCCACATCCACTAGCAGTGAAGTCCCTTCACTCTAAACTTCGCTGTGGGAACCCATTTCCCATGCGAGTGAACATCCAGCAGCAACTACAACACCAGCAGCAGAAAGCACCAACCGTTGCATCAGATGAACACAGCGGAACGCAGCAGCAGCAGCAGCAGCAGCAGCTACTGGGAGCCATACAGGAGAATCTGTTGCCCAATTATTCTTGCCGCTCCTAGGCAGAGTAAATAGTACCAACGCGATATTCCGGTAGAGGAGGTGAGAGCAGCTGAGGCAGCAGCACCAGCAGCAGCAGCACAAGGAGGCCAGCCTGACCACTTTCCGTGAATTATAACACACGTCCACAGAAAACAACACTATAAGTACAGTGTTTCATTCGGGCTTTACCTTTTAGGGTTTTGGGTGTAGCGGTTGCTGATGTTGCTGGTGCTCGCCGCTCGTGGGTCTCCCCGCCCTTTAGGAGTGGAGGTGGATTTGCCCTTGGTGTACGTCAAGTTAGAGCGTAGTTGCAGATAAAGTAGAAACAAATAAATAAAAACCACAGACACAAGCAAACAGTGCAATATAGACGAAATCAGGCAATGATCCCTTCAAACTCTACGTGGTGGACCAGTGGTTCGTCAAGACCAGCGCATTGGGGCTGCCTACAAAATACCGTCGTCTGGCCCGCGCCGTATGGATAAACGGGAGCAAATACGGAAAATATTGCCGTTAGATCAAGTTTAAGTTCATCTTCGCTGGACTTTTCTTTTAATTTCAGCGTATTCGTGGGGAATTATACTCAACTGCCTGCAAAGAGGGGAGGAGAGAAGAAGATCGACCAGGGCAGAGCCCCAGCTACTTTTTAGTGGCATTCCCCTGCAGTGAATTTGCAGAATATATGCTTGTGTATATCTGAGTGTGTATCAGCGCAGAAATCAAGCCTTTGTATTCGAAGGGTAGAAATGCGCTGAAAATGCAGATGCTGGGGAAACTGGCGCAGAGAGGTACTTCCTTAGTCAAAATACATGTGGAGGGCTGCAATTGCTATTTGCATATTCTTTATGTAGAAGGGGAGGCGCGAGTGTAGTGCCTATTCCTAAGCAATTGTGCCCTTTCTCAGCAACGCATTGGGACCAAGTATGCTCCCCAAGATGTGCTGCGATGGGGTAGATCCTCAGACCGGCAAGGGAACAGGCAAAGGCAGCAAAAAAGCAGTTATTCAAGGGGATCTATCTATAAAAACTAACACCAAAGACTACCAACTATTGGCGAACCAAAAGAAGTCCAAGGCCTGGCCACTAAATTCAATGGTTTATAGCAGGGCCATCGGCCATCGGCTACAGACAAGCCAGTGCTAACTGGCTGAAAAGGGCGCAAAGGAGTTAAAGGTTGGCACTCGCAGAGATTGTGGAGTCCTTGCTCACCAACGGCCAGGAAAAAGCCCCCTTTCACCGCCCTTGCTCAAGAAGAAGAAGGTACTGGCTGTGACCCTGATATACAGCGCATGGATGCTAGGGCGGTGTATGCCAGCCAAGCCCAGACAAAGAAATAAAGTAAGGAATGATAGCAGCAGGTGAATCCGCCACTCAGAAAACCGGTGACAAGGTTCGAGCGAAGTATCTGCTCCTTCTGCAATGCACACAGCCACTTATACGAGACTGTACTGGTTACAAATCTGCGGCGATGAGGAGCAATTTTCCTATGCATTCGTCGTCGTGGACTCTGCAACTGCGCCTCGCCGATAGCAGGTATGATACAAGAAACGGTAAAACCGTGGCGATAAAAGGCCGGCTCGTTTTAGATGTAAATCATATTTGCGTGATACGGGGCCTCTACGTTATACCAGTTCACGACGAAATAATCCTTGGCATCCTGTGGGGCTCTCAGTAAAGGGCGCACAAGCTCCCCATTGAAGAGCTTACTGGGGTATATACATATATATATATATATATATATATGGAAAATAATGCAGAAGTGCACCGCTCAGCGCACCCAAACTCAGTTATATCCTCTATGGTAAGTGGTGTGGAGTCAGTGTCTTCTGAAGAACTGATGAATAAGATTCCAAGACAGGCAGAGTCACTGCCGGAAACGCAGCGAAGTGCATAAATTCCATAATGGCCACTGTGATGCAAAAAGCTCTTCCATGGGGCCTGTGGTAGGGGGAACACACAGATGTTGGGGGATGCCAGGTCCAAGGGGGCCAACGTGCATTTGTGCGTCGGAATATCTCCTCTCTTCTTCAGGATACTCGCAGCAAAAAGCTGTGGAGACATGTCATATGTGGAGGCTAACCGAATCTTCCGATTCCTGATTCGAATGCATGACGCCATTTGAGATCAATCAAGGCAAACGCGCAAACTGATTGCACCAGCCGCTTGTGGTTATTTGAACGAAATACATTAAAGTGGCTTAACTCTCTCCCTGACGAGGGATGGGTTGAGAGTGCAGCGGTGCACGCTTCGAGCGGTTGTTTTCCTGTCTCCTTTGTATACACAAGAGTATAGTTTTCTGAGTCGAAGTTGAAACTGTTCGCTGGGAGGCAACACCGAACGCTCGCAGCTGCCGAATTTCCTCTGCATCATGCAGCTGACCAGAAGTGAAAAAAGAAAGAACAAGATCGCCAGGCATGAAACTGTAACAGGGGATGTTCGGCAACCAACCTACTGAGTGCTCTGCGGAGCAGTCAGTAGTACGGCCAGCCACACGTTGGGTAGGCCCATTTGCTGTTCGTTGTTGGATCGACGCGTTGGCTTAGAGATTACATTTGCCTCCAACGTGGATGTGCCGCCATACCATTAATTCAGGCTTTCTACAATGACCTAGGGAATCACCAAACTTCCGTCAAGCTCCCCCCGCAGAAAGGCAACACTGCCACTGCAGGGAAGAGCAACGGTGAGAGTCGCTTGAGAAAACCGGCTTTTCTCCCTCCTCAGCTCAGCTGCAGTGACTACAAAAGCGGGCGTGCACAGCGCAGCGTAAACAACTGCTACGGGCAGCATTTGTAGACAGTTGCCGTGTTTCGTGTGTAGAGGAGCTATATTTTTTTTTATCTACGTGGTGTCCTGCGCTAGTTGTTGGCTGCTTGCAAAATGTTATGTGCGCTCTTCCCTCTGCCTATGGCGAGCTCGGCGCCGCCTCCAACGGCCCTTTCTTTGCGGAGGGCAGGATTCCCTGCCTCCTATATATATGTATATATATATATATATATGTAATGATCAGCCGCTGAAGCTTTGACAAAGTGCATTGGTGGCCGATCAACAGATATTTTTGTCGTGCTTGGAGGGCATTACACCAACTGAGGTGCACTGCACCGAGAGAGGTAACGAGCGAAGGCATGCTCTAGTCGATAGCAGCAATAGATGCAGTACCTATTGATGGCTCTCCCCCTTCCCTTCCCTTGTTGCTTCTCTGTTCGTTGTTGCTGGGTCTGGCCCCCGCCCCTCCCATTACTTCGCCGCTTCCGTTTCCTGTTCGGCAACCAGCGAAACGTGGAAGTGTGCTACTTGGGGGAAGGGAGTGCTGAAGAAGCATGGTTTGCGGTACGTGCATTTCTACACACGTGCAGGTCTTGTGTTGACGGCCAGTTAACTGCGTTTGAAAATCGTATACAGCGTTAGAGCATTCCCCAAGATGTTGCTTGCCCTGTTCCCTCCATATACAGCTTCTATTCAGAGCATGAATTGAATGTGCAGCAGCTCGCGGAATGCTGCGCCCTCCCTGCACCAGCCCCCCTTCTGTGCCCCTTCTCCCAGAAAGCCTCGAGACTGGAGAGGAGTTCTGGCGCTTCTGGGCACTCATATCTTCATAGTGTTAACTCCACTGCAGCTAACGATGGTTCTCAGCTAAGGTCGAGCCCCCTCACAATGCATTTGAGGGAAGACGGCATCCCTATAAGCTCTAGGGACCTCTAGCACGCTGTCAAAGTTGCTCTGTGGGCCTCCCATCTGCTGCTGCCACTGGTGCAGGCGCTGCTGCTTCTGCTGCTTCTGCTGCTTGTGCTGCATGCAGCCACAGCAGCAACAGTGAAGTCTTCTGCACGGGAACAGACGCAAAGTAAAAAGAGAAGGACCGGAGGAGCGAGCATGCAGAAAGGTTTGAGCTGGAAATACACAGTAGGACCTCTTCGCCGTTATTTAAAGACTTCATTTGCGTTTTATAATTAAGAATAAATTGCTTTCTTCCGCATGAAGTGAACAACATAAGAGGGTAAACCAAACATAGCTGTAGTATGGCCCCTTCAATACACACACACAAGCTCGGAGTTGTGCGGTTCGGTTGGTGTCTGTCTAGACAATCTACACTGTGTAGTGTTTCTTGATTTTCTTTATTTTATATTTCATCTTTAAAAAAGGAAAAGACCTAAAAAAAGGAAGGAAACACATTGCTGCCCTCACCAGGGCTAGACAGAAGCACAGCAGCAGCATCAGCAGCAGCAGCAGCAGCAGCAGTAGCTGCTGCTTTGTCTTAGGTGTGCGACCTGTTGTTCTCTCGGTTTATTTCTAATGCTAAATTTACTGCACGTTGGCTTCAGTTCCTCAACCCTGAGCTCCTTACTCTAAACCCTAAACCCTGAACCCTAAACCCTAAAACCCCGGCAGGGTTGTCGTGTTCAAGTTCTCGCCGCTCACTCAGCTCCATACAGTCTGGCCCTTCTATTTCGGCGAGGTACGTAGGCTCAAGGGTTTAGGGTTAAGGGTTTGGGGTTTAGGGTTTAGCATTCCCCAGCGAGTGCTCAGGTGTACATACAGCTCAGGGCCCCACGAGAGACGCCCTCTGTGTTTCTCTTCGGACAGTGAACTCTTCCAGCTCTCTCTGCCTCTCCTTGAAAAAAGCAAACACAAAAAGGAAGCAAGCTGTCTTCCTAAGTCATGTGTGCAGCAGCAGCAGCAAGAAACAGCTGCAGCAATCCCTTTGTTCTACAGCAGCAAACACAGCAACAGCAGCAGCAGCAACTGCTGCTGCTGCACATGAACTTGCATGCGTTAGGGGGAATAGAAATGCTAGTTAAAAATGGCACAGTTGGCAGGGGTGGTATAGGTGCCTGAGTCTGTTGCTGCTGCGGCAGCAGCAGCAACAGCAACAGCAGTAGCAACTGCAGCAGCAGCAGCAGCAGCAGCAGTAGCAACTACAGCAGCAGCAGCAGCAACAGCAGCAACAGCAGCAGCAAAGCAGTAGTAACAGCAACATAAGGCTCCAAAGCAGCAACAGCTGCGGCAACAACAGCAACAGCAGCAGCCAGAACAGCACAACTCCAGCAGCAGCAGCAGTTGCAGCAGCAGTTGCAGCAGCAACATCAGCAGCTACAGCAGATGTTAGGGAGTAGTATAGGTTTGATTATGGGTTTTGGGCTTTTCATTCGCAGCAGTGTGCGTATGATAAACTGTTGTTTGATGTTGCTTCTTCTGCTTCTGCTTCTGCTTCTGCTTCTGCTGCTGCTGCTGCTGCTGTTGCTGCTGCTGCTGCTGCAGGTGTATGTTGTTTTGTCTGGTAGGATGGGGGAATTATCAGAAGAATGCGCTGTCTTGGCTACAGATGGGGCAGACGAGAAGGAAGAGAAGAGGCTGCGGCAGCTGCTTCAGGTGAAGACATTCAAAGGCAAATATGCACTCCCTATTGAGGGGACGGAGACAGCCGGTAAGACAACATGCACAGCAATAACAGCAGCAGCAGCAGCAGCAGCAGCAGCAATAGCAGCAGCAGCAGCAGCAGGAAGAGTAGAAGCTTTCGGGGTTGTGCACCTTCTTCTCGTTTTGTTTTGTCGGGGATGGAGACGCGACTGTCTTTCTTCTCTTTTGTCCTGTCTCCACGTTTGTTTGTTTGTTTTGTTTGTTTTGCTTGTTTGTTTGTTTTTGTTTGTTTGTTTGTTTGCTTACTTTGTTTGCTTACTTTGTTTGTTTTGTTTGTGTAGCGAGGGTGTTTTGTTTCATCTCTCTGTTTGTTTTCTTTGTTTGTTTGATGTTTGCATGCTGTCTTAATTCTTTCTTTTGTTTTTTCTTGCTTTGTTTGTTTTATCTTCTAATCGCAGACAGCTCAGCTGTCTACCGCGCCGTACCTGACCCCTCAAACCCTACACAAACAATGTTGGGGGAGCCTGCTATTCCACAGTTTCCTCATATCAAATCCACGTAAACCCTAATCCCTAAACCCTAAACCCTAAACCTAGGAAACCCTTGGAGCACCGTACATAGGGAGGCGCTTAAACCCTAAACGAGAATATAGGGGCTTCTGAGATTCTTTCAACAGGAGAACACTAGGGTTTAGGGTTTAGGGTTTAGGGTTTAGGCATATGCGTGCGTTTAGGGTTTGCGGTTTGTTAGGGTTTTGCTGTTGTTCTTTTTTTGTTTGCTTCTGCTTCACCTTTGGCTGCTCTCTGTCTCCTTTTGTCTGTCTCCTTTTGTCTGTCTCCCTTTGTCTCCTCCGTACTGTCTTTTTGCTTTTTACTTCTATTTTATTCTCCTTCCCTCTTTGTTTTTCTTTGTGTCTCCTATGTTCATATAATAATATATGTATATGTTCGTGCAAGATTTCGTGTAATATGCTATATATATATTTATACATATATATATATATATATACATATATATATATATATATATATATATATATATGTGTATGCACATCAACGCTGATGCATTCGTATATGCATATGCATAATATATATGGATATATATATGTGTATATATACACATCTATATCTATATATATATATTATATATTAAATATTATATATATATGTCTAAGTAAAAGAAATGCGGATAGGACTACTAAGTCTTCAATCGGTGTATGTACAGGCGTTTTAATTCGTCGACTGTTTGCGAATATTTGTTTGATTTGTTTTCTTAATCTACACTTTTGAATTTATTTTGTTGAATTGATTATTTTGTTTTTTTCAGCTATCTCCTTCTAAAAGAAGCAGCTCGCATCTTTGGCAGGAATTTATACGTGGGGGAGCGGCAGCCAATCAAAG